GTATCAAAAAAAAAAAAAAATCATGCGTACGAACTAATTTCATGATTTGACACCAAATTAAAAATAATTTAATGAAATTTCTAATAAATTAGTAATTAACAACAAAATGAAATTGATCGGTTTATTCCTCTCTCTCTATCATTAATCGAATTTATTTTTTAATATGTTGAAAACTAAATTAAAAATTTTTCATTGCCGACATCAATTTTAAATTAATTAGTGAGTACAAAAATTAACCTAGAATAAATATTAAGTCATGTACGAAGACGGAGTATTAACTAATGAATTTTCCAATGAATCAAATGTACCAAACGTCTTTCTAAAACACTGATAAAAATCCAGATTCATATCTGATCCTTTGATTCTCTTATCGCCACTAAAACGTGCTACATGTAAGCCGTAAAAAAATTTTTCTTTGCATACCACAATCCAACGATTCAAAGTACCGACTTATCAACCAATAACTTTTATCAGTGAACAGCAATGGTAATGCTTAAATTAAAAGGAAAAACAAAAAGACCTAACGCGCACTAGCTGGTCTATAGTTACCTTTAATCGTATGGCTTTTCAAAAAATTACGCATTGTTGTATTAACCGAGTGAGGAACAAAAAAACTCGTGACGGTGTAACACGACTCTTTAAACGAAAGTTTTACCATATCAATATTTTAATATTTTTAGATTAAAATGTTTCTTATTGCAGAATGAAGAAGGACGAAATAATGAACGGCAAGGGCCTGGACGGTGGCTACGTGAACCACGCGCTGAGCGAGTCCACCGCGGATTTGGCAGCCAACGGTTCCGCCAAATCTTACAAGTCGCAGCGCGAGTTGCACGGCTCCTCTGACTTTGTCTGTAAGTATTGTTTTTTTTTTTTTTTTTTTTTTTTTTTTTTTTTTTTTTTTTTTTTTTTTTTTCTTTAGAAACGTTAAAAAACAATGAAATTTCTCAAACTATCTCTCTAATCTTTCTGCCTTTTGCTCGCCGCGAAAACATGATTTCTAAAATAAAAGTACTTAGATTTTTTATGTACCAAAACTAAATTTTTTTGACATAAATTAAGTTGATGTTTTAACTTAAAATATGAAGCACCTAAAAAATCACCAATTTCGCGGTTTTGAATATTCAAACAATTTTTTCTAAGGTTAATTTTTCTCGCCGAGGGTACAAAGTGTTGTTTCGCACACTTTGGCCCATGATAAAAACAAAAAATCTGTTTTTTGCCATAAAAAAAATTTGATATTGGTAATTTGTTCAAACAAATGGAGACGGGACAACTACAAAAATCCCATATCCCAAATAATTTTTCTCGATCTTATCGGACTCCTACAAATATCACATGACCATAGAACGGACGCGAAACCGGTCACGAGACCCACAATGCCGAGCGTCAAAGATTGTATCGCCTACGTATCGCATCGTGCCAATGTGGACGAATTAAACGAGCGCGTAAGTACGCACGTGCTCTCTCTCCCTTTTGTTTGTTGTCGCGACTCTATATACACGCGGTTGATATGTTTTTTTTTTCTCCCTCCTTCTCTATTATATACACTTCCACTACTTGCTTCCAGAGCAGCCATGGCACGCCAATTATCGTCTCGCCTCTTCTTCGTTCGTTGGTCTATCCTTTATGGAATATTCTCGATGCGGAGTATCGACAAACGATTGCGAGAAAGAGACAATTTTTTTTTTTTTTTTTTTTTATCGAACGAATTCAACCACAACTCATGTAGAAATCGGTAATTTCTTGTTTTGATAAGGAAAATCTGAGCTCAATCATGCTTATTTCTGTCTCTAATCGCTGACGTTGCGGGTAATCTTCGATCGGTGCGTGTGTTGTTAAAAATAATCTCAGCATTGTAATCGTCGCAATCGAATCAATGCTCTTAATTTTTCACGTTTTTTTTTTATACGTACTGTTTCGTAGCACTTGCTAGGCACGATAAAATAAAAAATATCAACTGAAAAAACTTGCGTTTCGATTAAAAAAAACAATAGTCATTGGCTTAGATTTGTTTGTTTGTTTTGAAAAATCGCACATCGTGCAAAAGTTATATCGTTCACGAGAATGGGATAACATATCACGTGTATTTATTTTGAATGGAGGAAAAAAAAAAAAATTGAAAAACATCCCGGATAAATTCTTCTGTTGACTTTACTAGTATAGGTACTAGGATAAAATAATGCAGTCATTGGTTATTGAAACTGTTTTTCTTTTTCTTTTTTTTTTTTTTTTTATGTTACACTGTACATTTTCATTGTAAATTTATGCAGATACAATTGGAGCATTATAAATTAAAATAAAATTCCAAGTGAGGAAAATGTATAAGTACAGATGTGTTACTTTAATTACTACGAAACAAATAATTAATACTGAACAGTACTACAACAAATACCACAAT